TTTTCTACGCTCTTCCAAACTAATGAATGGCGCCGAACGAAACCCGACTGTTGCTGCGTTGTCGTCTATAGCACTGGAGCGTTGTTGTAGTGGCACTGTGTCGAGGCGCGTCTCTACAGAGTCTGACGGCCGCCCTATCAGATTTAGCGGATTTTCAAAGGTGAAATTATTACTATTATTCAAGGTGAAATTTGGGCCGGCGTTGATATCCATAAGGAAGAGGTCGGTGACAATCTTGCTGCCTGTATCTGGGAGCCAAGCGTAGTGAAAAAAGTTCGTTTTTCTCCATCTTTTGAATTTCTTTTTCTTTATGATTTTGGTAACGAACGGATGAAACTAGAAATCCTTTTCCAAGACCATGGTTATGATACCTATGATATTTTGTTGCAGAACGCCATTATCGCCGCCACAGAAGCTGTGTGTCTTGTGCTGTCGATAGACCAAACTGTGAAGAATGTGCGAACACCATCAGGAGGACAGATGCCAGGGTTGCCGGGAGGAATGTAATAAACGTTGCTTAATCTCAGATATGTGCTCGTAATTTTTTTGCTGTTGTTGTTCTCAAATTTAAATTTTTGTTGTTTTGCTTTGGTGGATCTGAGTTTTAATAAGAAAGTCATCTCGCCACCCGCTCGTTGTGCGGACTTGCAGTTTTCTTCGTCGCCGACGATGGGATCACATTACGATATTGTTTTGTTCACGCCCTGTTTGTTGTTCGTATAAAAGGAATGCAATCCGTGGCTGTGCCAGTGTAATAGGGATTTAATCCGTTAGTCAGGGTGTTGATTGTATCGAGGCGTAGAATCGCGGAACTTGGCGCATTAAGCTCCATTTCGAAATACTAAACGGATCACCTACAATACATATCCCGTAAATGGAAGGGCGTGGCTCCGTACTTGATTTAAACGCCTGCGAGGAACAGTACGGCCTGGTTTTAGCAGTTTGGTGGTATTCGTCCATTTGTCGATGCTTCTTGTGGAGACCTGTATATTCCTGTCAAGTTATACAATAGCGGGAGCTTCATTTACACCTGACATATACAGGTTTTATAATGATGAAACGTGTAAATGGAGAGGAAACATCAAACGAGCTAGCGAAAATGCCCCCTCCTTCCTGAGCCGAACAGCGTTGGTGAGATTTTCCCGTTTCGAGACAGCTGCAGTCATTTCTCTGTTTACTGCCAGACAGAATGACAGTTCCCTCAAATGGGACACCTCATGAAAAGCTCCTAAGCCACGTTGAAATAAAGTGCACAGTACGGCCCCTTTCCGATTCCCGTATAGGGGATGTGGACTGTACATGCTGAGCTTTCTTTTCAACGTCGTCATGGCTCATAGGGATCAGGTACGCAGGATTATATGTAGTTCAACCTGGAGGTGAAATGACGCACTGCATCATCACCAGGTTGAGTCCTGGTACGAATCTCGCGGACCATCACTAGCGACGCCATCTGCGTTTGCTTTGGTCGCTTTGATCCGGATAAGCTAAACTACTCTCGATAAAGTTGCACATAATTAGCTGAAGAGGTGTCATCATTTCATCATGAAGACAAACTGTACATCTCCCGTAACCTGGCTACTAGTTCTTGCGCCAAGTGTGAGGTGAATGGGCACGGCAGCTGGGGTAGCGTGCCACTTCCTCCGGTCAAGAGTGCCCGAAAACGGCGCTGGAGGTAAGCAAGGTACCAAGTCCGCGACTCCATAAAGCTACCGCCGCCGCACGGCAATACTCACACGCCTTAGCGATAGCAAATACCGCTACTTATCTGCACCCTCTCATTCTGGTTATTCACTACTGCAGATAAGTTCTCCGATAATTTCGCTGCTGGACCTTTGTATCGATACAAGGGCATCACCGTCAGATTAGCGCTGCGGAGTATGTAGGCGACACTCGGGTACTACCACCGCCCAGTCCTGTTCCCTGCATTTTTGAGCGGGGAAAGTGGAAACTGCACCCTTATTGGCCACGGCAAGGACCGCCATCGGAGTCTAAGCTTTAACACATATAACCGACGACAGGGAAAAGCTATTGCCTCTGGGAGAATTACCAGAAGCTGGGACTCGTGGTTGAACGCGAGATCTGGTGAGGTCATCGGACGGAAGTTCAATCTAGTTTTCCTCCTATCTCCTAGACACGATCGCCTGTGCCGTATAAGCACTTCCTCAGAGGCGAAAGGCACCATCTTCCCTGTATACTGTTCTTCGAAGGTTCCAAGGCTTGCGTTATGCTATGCGCAAGCCAACGTACCCCAGCGTCTAGACCAGCCCGACCAGCCGCTGCTGTTCAGCGGCGGCTAGGCAAGTATAGCTACTCGCGCTCTAGCGTCCGCCAGTGTTCATCGGCACGCGATCGTGGAATTGCAGCGTGTGCAATCGCAGCCCTATACTTACGATATACAGGTGGAGACTGCATAAAATCTGTGCTGTGGTAGTAGTGCGCTTTCGTTACACACGCGCAAAATGGCCGACGCTTACTACAGCTGTTTGCTACCCTCCTGCTCTCCATACTCTGCTACTGCTGCTTCCTTCTACCTCTCGGTCGCCGGTGAAGCTATAAATGGACGCTGGCCAAACGGCTGGCACGACGCTAGATCGTACGCTATACTTCCTAGGCGCTTGAGACGCGTAGCAGGGCGGCTGGTGGACGACTGCCGCAAAGTATGAACGAGCCTAAGGGGCAGGCTGCGGTCAACGTCACAAAAGTCAGCCACAGCAGTACGTCGAACTGGAAGAGCACAGCGTCGGCCTCTGTATCTGCTGCTTTGGTCTGCTTTGATCAGCTGAAATCAAAGCGAACAGTGCAGCGTGATTGGTCAACCTTAACCGCTGGGCTGTGGCATCCCCCCCGACAATTACAATGACAACGAAATGATGACTTGAGAAATTGGTTAAACTTTTATTAAAACTTTCAAATATACAGCCTAGTCTGATTCAAACAACATCGATTAAGTGAAAATAGTGACTCTTCGGGGGTACGCTACAGAATGACAACAAAATGGATTCATTACACATGAGGAGCGCCAAAAGATTATATGATGAGCTATATGAGTGTCGAGGTGTCGCTGACTGGTAGTGTATACGAAGAAGCATTTGTGGGCGCTCCCTTTACAATGAAGGGATAAAGCCAAAGAACGGTGTCGACGAGCTCGACAACCGACGTTTAAGGCGGTTACTAGAGGCAAACATGCGAAAGCATTTAACAACTGAGAGTTTCGATAAAACGGTGTCACACTAGCGTGAAATCAAAGGCCTCTGCCGCTAAAAAATCGGTAAGTTTTCTCTCACACAAGTCGAGAAAAGGCTTGCACTTTTGTTCAAACAGAACAGATCCCGATTACGAAGCTGAGGCCAATGAGAAGCCTTTGGTAACAGTTAGGGTCTCATTAGGGTTGTTTGCGAGGGTTTTGTCACCAAGCAAGGAGAGAACTAAGGAGAAACTAATCGTAGTCGAAAAGCAGATGGGTGCGCACGGAGGTGCTTGCTATGGTGCGCGGTTGGCTGGCCAGTGCCACACTTTCTTTTGACGAGAAGCTGGCGTGGCACTTCGGCTTGGTGGGGCATTATTGCTGGTTCCCGCCAAGCTGCGCCGATGCGTCCTGTGGGCCTGTGAACGTCTTAGGTTAAGGGCTACGGCGAGAGCCAAAAGGCTTCATTACACTTAACAAGAGTCTACAGGTCCAACCAAGCTCTGACAAGTAATTTGAGCAGAACTAGCAAAACAGCCAGCGAAAGTGCAGAGTGCCCCTCGAACACTGAAACCCGGGGAGGAGAACTGTGAGTACCGCAAGGAAGTCTGTACCGCGATTGCATTCTCAAAAAACTTTTTGTAAAGAAAACAAGAAAAACTATCGCTCGTCAACTCAGGAGCAGTACAGCATGGGCGGTAGCAGAAAGCCCCTCCCATCGAAGAGCGTGTGCAACAGACAGCCGCTGCCCGCAACGCGAAGTGAGCGAAAGTTCATGGGGCAGGGCACTAAGGGGGCGGAGCTGGAAACTCTGTCATCAACTTAGGGCGGTATGCGGTCACAGTTAGCCCACCCACCGGTTTTCCAGAGCACCAGACAGTCCAGACACTCATTTTGAATGATAGAGATTACCAGACAGCCCTCCTGTTTAATAGGGCGGTACCAGGAGGCCCTAAAGCCATCAGCGCTGGGACGACACTGATGGGATAGCCCCGCCGCTCTGGGCGGCCCCGTCCACACCCCAACTTACGCCTTGAGGAAATAGTTGAACCCTCTCAACTAATTGGGAAAAATCTCGTTTTTTCCCTTCCTTTCAGCGAATCATAGGGGACGTGAGCAGGTGGCATCGCTAGCTGGGAGCGGGCGTTGCTGCGCAACGCATTGGTGGAAGGCGCTGCCAGAGGGCGTTAGTCCAGCGTTTTCTCTCCGCCCCTTCCACAATTTGACCTTGGCAGCTCCGCTCGCTCCCACAAAAATACTGCCCAGCTTTTAAAAAAAGGCGGCGCACAGCTGATGACAAACATTTCTGACAGTACCTTTTGTGACACCGTTAACGATGGCAGATCAGATGACTGTTGGATATATATGTATTTCTAAAGGAATAAATATGTGTAAAAAAATAAAAGCAGCATAATAATTGCTACATAGGCTAGATGAGAGGCACGGATGATTCTGGGCGAAGTGCACGGCAGTAATAGACAGAGACTGTACAGTACCAGCAGCATAGCATGTCTCCACAATGAGATTATCCGTCCACACTGATCGGTTCAGCAACTTCTACATTCATGGCCCTAGCTAGCTACGGCTCTAAACCTTAACAATAGCGAGTACTGAAGCGCAGAACACATGGATAACAACAAGCTGATAGCTGCTTCACGACGACACCGCTGTTAATCCTTGAAGTCGGTGGTCAGTCTGACTCTGAGGTGTTTCGATGTTGCCGCCTGAAAATTATGGTCTGATATTTTGCTGAAAAATCAGGGAAAAAGAGCAGAGATGGCAGCGCTCATGTCTTCGGGCGGGGGAGGGGCACGTATATGTGTCCAGGATAGTCGTACTTTGCCACAATGGAGGGTGTCGCCAACGATTTCGCAGCCGCATGCGGCAACTGCATAGCTCACCGCCGCTCTTACGACGTTCCAATACCAACTCTTCCTCACTAGTAAAAGTACGTTGAACGCGATTTTCGCAATCAAGGTGTTACGGGTAGCGCTCGAAGTCAATGAAGGCGACTGACCCGCATAATTTAACTTCCGCCACTAAGAGAGAAGCAAAAAAAAACATAACCTTAACAGCGACCTAGGCAGTGGGGCCGGCGGATTGAACGAGTTTGTCGGATGTGGACAAGATCAATTAGGAAGGTTCGACGTGCAACCAGTTCCCAGCAATAGCATAGAAAATCGCCCTACGACGCTCCAGGCAACGCTGTGTACACACTTCCGCTTGTAAGCCGTTGCGTTGCAGAGTGAAAGTAATCGCCATGCAATGGCTGCAATATTTTCACCGCGTCTCTACTCCTTTAGCCTCGCCGTTTCAAGTGGTGAAAGTGCCTATTTTGCCATAGGCGGACAACGAGTGTCAAATGGCAAGAGGGATTTCACGGAACTGTCTTAAGGCTGCGTTTATACTTTGCGGCAGCGTAGCGTAGCGTAGCGCAGCGTAGCGTAGCGCTTCCAGCGTACGCCAGCGGCAGTGCCGAAGAGAGGATGCATATCGATCTAGCTTCACCAGCGTCACCAGCGGCACGCTGGCGTACGCTAGCGTACGCCAGCGTTTCTCCAGCGTTTCACCAGCGTTTTGCTAGCGCTTGCAGCGGCAGGGGAGTAGAGACTATGTGGCCGTGAGAGAAGCGGAATCGACGTGTATTGTAGAGACCATGTGGCCGTCGGAGACGCAGAAGCGATGTGCATTGTAGAGACTATGTGCCGTCGGAGACGCAGAAGCAATGTGCATCGTAGAGACTATGGGGCCGTCGGAGACGCAGAAGCGATGTGCATTGTAGAGACTAAGGGCGAGTGAGAGACGCGCAATCGATGTGTTTTGTACCCTCCAGCTCTCCATAGTCTCTACTCCCCTGCCGCTGCAAACGCTAGCAAAACGCTGGTGAAACGCTGGAGAAACGCTGGCGTACGCTAGCGTGCCGCTGGTGACGCTGGTGAAGCTAGATCGATATGCATCCTCTCTTCGGCACTGCCGCTGGCGTACGCTGGAAGCGCTACGCTACGCTGCCGCAAAGTATAAACGCAGCCTAAGCAGTAATACGGTCGTACGCTTAGAGTGTTGGAATATCCAGTCATTTTACACACGCGCAACAGCTGCGACACAGATGCGCCACGCGCGATAGCGCGGCGAATTACGTTTGTCTCGACCGTCTCATGGAGGGGGGAAGTACACCTGTAAAAGGCTCTTGGAGAGAATACTTTCACAAATGCAAGACGTCGGATAGAGGAAATACCAAAACTTGTGGCACGGCATCATGTGATGTAATTTTTTCTCATCTAGATTGCAGCTCTTAGGGTGAGTGAAGCGCTCTCCGACCCTAGGCTAGCTGGGCCGTAGTGTTAAAGACAGCGTCCCCGCGATCAAGTGGTCCTCAAAATGACTTCGTGCTTTTTGGAACCCTCTACGCCTTGACGAAGATGATACCACTTTCATCCCTCAATATGGCGCGATAAGGAAGTTATAGCGATTTCCACAAGGCTCGCTAGGCTCGCTGACACGGTAGGTGGACGAGGCGTCCGGTCCCGAGCTGCTTCCGTCCCTTTAAAGTATCCTATTTCGAAAGTCGGGACGCAATTGCGGCTGCCGCATCGATTTCTGGCAGCCACGTCCGGCACACTCGTCCAGGCCCCGCGCCCACCTAAAGGGGAGGTCTGTGCTCAGGCGGTTCGCGCGAGTTGTTTTTTTTTCGATTTTTTTTCCCACTGGGGGGTTACAAATGGGCCACTGCTTCGTTGACTGAGCACCAATTACCCGAACACTTGATCGCGGGAATTGTCTTTAATAGTACGGTACACACCACACAGACCACATTACCCTCGATAAATACGAACGCGTGGGATTGTAACTGACACGTCCAGGAGGTGAGGGTATCTATCTTTCCGAAAAGAGTTTGCACTGTCGTGAAGGGGTGGAGGAATACTGGGAAGAAATAGGCCCTTAGCGAAGAAAGTTCCTTAGGATAGAGGGGACGAGGGGTTGATCAGATTGGATTTTCAAGTCAGAAGTTGCTGTAACAACTCGCCTTTATGTGCCTTTCAGGGAGACGGGATGTACTCGGGGCCTGGAATGTCCCTTTTCCTCCCTTGCATGAACTGCTCAGGCTTCAGAGGGGTGGGGTGCTATGGCTCTCTAAGGTGTACAGCAATTGCAATATAACCGAGTCTTCCGTCAAGCTACTATGCAATCTTTCTCGAAAATTTTTGCATTTTTGCGCGAAGCGTCGTCTACACTACTCCTAGCACCATTAGACCCCTCCAGACAGCCACTCCACCTTTTTACCGCAATCGTAATTTGAATTTTTTTCAATTTTTACATTTCGAATTATAAACTGTACAAAGAAGCTCCATTAAGGAAACATTAAGGAAATTGCTGTGAAGTAGTAATCGTAGACAAACTCACTCTCGTTCAGCGACGTGATATTGCTTCGTTTTATATCGTTTATAAGCTTGGCAACAATAAATGATGAAAAATAGAAGAATAAGCATAATCAATATGATGATGAGAGGTAGCAACCATCCATAGTGTACTGAAAATTAACGCCATTAGAAGACTGCCTGCTGAAACTATAGTCCCCATAACATACTGATTAGTTTGCAATCTACCGTAATCTATTAGCAGCCTTGATCGGTGGGGGTGTCAGCAAGGCTCTGTTTGGTGGGCGCCAGGCTGTTTTCCACCATTTGCTGAAGCGGATAAGCGACAACAATTGGTAGAAAACGGGCTGGCGCCGCGCCAAATGCAGCCCTACTGACACGCTCCAACATCCGAGCGAGACTGTTAAACACACAGTCCACGCTAATCGATGTGGGCAGACAGGTCACGAACTGTATTCCCCTCTGACGGTGGCGGGCACCTCATTTCTGAGACAGTGCAGGAGAAGAAGCAGAGGCGCCAATGAAAGGATCAGAAAATGTGGGCGTTGACGGACGGCCCAGCACGAGCCATCTGTAAACTATGCCTTTGAAGGTATTGATTCACGATAATGCAAATAATGGCAGGAGACCGGGCTGGAACTAAGCGAAAGCAGCAGCCACGAATGTGAGGCCCTAACCAATGACACGCCAGCGGGTCCAAGCAAGAACGGTAGACTAAAGGACGATTATCCTTCGTAGCGAGAAAGGAGGAACGAGTTTTCGAGGATCGCGAATACGGACTGGTCGCATTTTTGAAGCGAAAACTAAATCAAAAACTGAGCAAGCACTGGTTTCAGTGTCAGATTATCGTTGACCTTAGCCTCAGTCCACGCTGATCATGCGGATGGAGAAAGGGGAATAACTGTGTCATTTAAGGCGCTTATAATGAAAGCGAAAAAGTTGGCCCGTTTCCTCCCATATGATCAGCGTGGATTGAAAGATTGAGAGTGAAAAGCAAGGCACTATTCTGTCAAGAGTACAGAGGGAAAAGAAACTCGAACGCACCACCAATCTTCAACTCGCGATCGAATTTCACCTCGAACTCCTGCTCGGGTCCGTCCACATAAATGGGGAACTGATTCGAAGCCACACATCTGAAAGGAGGAAAACTAGAGCTGCTCAAGTCACGGCGGGAACTTGTTGAAGGAAAGAATCCGCAGAGGGAAAAGAATCCTTTGATAAGGGCTATTCAAAAAATAGGAATGAACGTAATGACAATTCTTGTTTGAATCTGACCCCCTCCTCTTTTTTTTTCCCTTAGAAATGGCGAGCAGCGTTTGCAGGCTGTATATACCAGATTCAGGGCAGTCAAGAGGTGCTAGATGCGGTCCACGCATTCGTTCTCAAAATGGAATTTGAAACGAGCACAGGCTTGGTGGAAGCTAAATGCTATTGCACAAAAAATGGTAAACGCATGCTAATGCGGGTGGTGGCGGCAGACGAAAGATCGCAAGCCTATGCTAGAGGCTAGCCTATCTTAAATTAGGTCCAGTGACTATGCTTGCGACCCCCTCAGTAATAGTCACAATGGCCACTGCCCTTTCTCCAAGAAGATTCATGAAGTTCACGTCAGTTTCCAATTGAGCACTAAGATTATTGATGTGCGCCAGCGAAAGGGGGGTGAGACACGAGCTGAAATTCTTATTTTTACCTTCATACTTACGTAGCATGCCAGCATCTGTATCGCTCCACCCACTGAATAGTTCAACTGCATTCTATGGAATGAGACTCGAGCTGAGGACTCTGAAATATTGCAGTAACATTCAAGAGCACATACCACGTTAGCGAAGTGGGCGGAGCCTGGACTCTAGGCTCCTCCCTTGTCAGCGCACTCTATATCATCGTTTCAGGAGGGGGAGGAGGGACCTATGGGGAGAGCATAAAGGTATCTAGTTCCTGCTAATTTTCCGCTCATCCAGTTGTTACCGTAAACCAGTGCACGTCCAGTCACTGGGGGAAAATTTGGCAAAGTACGACCCGTCCAAGTTGGCTCGCTCGCGATACAAACCTATCCATGTTCAAACAATATCCTCTTTTCCATTCTATATTGCTCTTGTGAAAACCAGCAAACCGCGAAAAATCAATAAAATCAACAACTGAAAAGAAATTTCTCGCGTACAGAAAAATCCCGATACGACCCCCTTCCGTTAGCGACCAAACACGAGCCCCGCGGGAGTCCCCGGCGTGGGACATGCCCTGAATTCAGCAGCTTTTGAATGGGCGAAGTTCCCCCTTCTTTACTGCATTGTACTGAGGGCGCACAAACTATGAAAGCACAATGGTATGCCCGGCTTCGCCTACATGATGGGCGTGGAATGTGCCTTCAGTAGGAACGTATGATTGTGAAAGAAAGAACTAACCTAGAGGGACTCCATCTTTGTACCAGACGATGTGAGGATGTGGATACGCATATACTGGGCAGACGATGGTCGCATTAGATTCCCTGGAAGCAGTCAGCGGTCTCGACGTGACGAGCGTCGGGTCCGATGGTGATACTTCCATAGGATCGGACGAGTTCCCGTGGATGACCGGACGAGCTGCAAACAAAACCAAGATTAGGATTAATCTTGATGGAGCGGTTCTCAACGATGAAGAAACACTCACAGTAGGCGAACATATTGCCGAAGACCAGTTCCCCGTCTTCGGTACGGATTTCACAGCGGTATTTCCCCGCCTGGGCAGCTGTCGCATTTCCAAATATGAGACGAGCTCTTCGGTTATCCGGATCCAATCTAGCCTAAATGCTTTTTTTTGTAGAGAAAGAAGGTCTTTCGGGAAAGCACTTTGAGAAAATGTAGGCTGACGACAACTACTGGATTGTGTCAGGGGAAAAATCATATAACTTCTGGGAAAGTTTCCTAAAAAAGCAAACAGTATGAGATTCGTACCGCTACAACCTTCTTCTCCTTGGTTCGAAAAAATCGAGCCCATGTGATTGACTGGACTTCACCATCCTTTCTTGCTTCACACCTGAACATGCCAGAATTCAACTTAACGTTACGCTTTCGACTGAAGTTAAGGAACAATTCCGCAATCAGCAAAGGGGCGGGGACTTGTAACCATTGTGCTTTTCACATAGTTTCGCGCCTCCTCCAGTACCATTAAACGGAGAGGCACACGGATGAGGGAGTCTCGCCTCAACCAACCAGTCGAAGTATGTGTCTTCAAGTATAGAATCTCTAGGAAAGATACGGCGTTGGTAGAAGCAGGCGATCGGATGCCGTGGTGCCCAGGAAGGCAAAAGCCCAAGATTAAACTAGTAGACAGATGCATCCACACATGCGTAAAAGGATCGTAAGATATTCGGAATATAATGGGCGTGAATCTGGGACTAGTATCCCCGTGCAAGAAAGGAGTAGCGCATATACTTCTGGTCATAGTGCCTTTCGCGACCAAAATTGAGTTTGCGCCATTTAACTTTCCATCAACCGCATCGGCTAGTTGGTACGGGAGCTGTCGGAACGGTAAATAACAGCAGGACTCGTACACGGGCTGGCTTCTTTAAAGGCAGTTAGCACGTAAATCCCCAAGGATTAACACGCCTGGCAGGACGGAATTCCGCGACCCTGAGCAGGCGCTGCGTAGCGCCCTTTCCAAGAAAGGTACTCCTTGTAGAGGCCCTATAAAGCTACAACATACCGACCCAAACGTTCGCCGTGCCTGCCCGCCCACAAATGGACGACCGTTCCTGACGCTCGTATTGCTTCATTTGCTAAGTAAACTATGAAGCGAAGCGATTGGAAAGAGACGCTGCATGGATATATGAGTGCAGCCGCATCCTTCGTGGCGGTTATTGGCAAGATGCCTACGGGAAACTCGTCCGAAGTGTTTTTAAGTCATTGAGGATGAAGGCTTTTTCACTTCGTTTTCTCGCCATTTTCCCACTACATAGCACCCTACTAGCATTTTAGGCCGAGCACCAAATTATCGTGCCAACTGCCTTTAAGGCCAAGCCAGGCACACATTGAAATGTCGTTGCGATTTTAAACGAAAACTCAGTGGATGGCGCACGAAACTAACGTTTACCGACGTTTGCTCCTTGCACATCCAAACTGCTGGCTTGCCTAACCTCTGAATTTATGCACCACCTTTTCTCCTTTGTTTCCTACTTTGCGCCATGCACTCCACTTTCACTCAGAAGCGGAGAGTTAGTTCTCCGAATTAAGTTGTGTCATCGCTGTGAAGAACACAGGGAGGGGGCTAGTGGGATAAGAAATCTAGTGACTCAAGCAAGAAAACTAAGAAGACGCGGAGAGCTTATAATTTTTTTCCTTCACGAGCCCCTAGCCGGTGTCTCCGGCGCCATTTCTTCCCTTCTCCTTACTTCTTAGCTATTACTGCGTAGTTCCATCACCATTTATCAATCGGCAATCTCAAGCGGACTTCTTTCGGCGGCATTTCCCTAGAGGAGTGACTTCGAAAGTTGCGCGTTAACCCCGTTGATGTTTACTTGGATACGAAAGGATAGGAGTCAGTTTTCAGCAGAGTACAAATTGAATTACGATTGATTTGAAGAGAAGACGTAAAAAGACCCTTTTCACTTTCACAGGAATTTGCCCAGTCTAAAACGAATAAAAGGTGGCAAAACAAGCATTCAGTTGACTGCGCTACGAAAGATGAAACTTCGTAAAGAAAAGGCTACAAAATCAGCGCAGAGAAAACACTTAAACGCCTGACATGTGCCCATAAAAGATGAAAGTTCTCCGAATTGAGTTGTGTCATCGCTGTGAAGAATACAGGGAGGAGGCTAGTGGGATAGGGGGGATTATCCTCCATAACTTTTTCTGATTGTTGATCTTTTCCGTTTGAGGAGCACTTTACCCGACCCTTCGACTTCTGACGATAGAATTCTGAAAAAGACCGCCCTTGACAGCAGAATTTAGGAAAAAACTACCTGACGGCAGATTCCGTAAGAACCCACCCTCACCTGCAGGATTTCTAAAGAAACTCCCACCTCCGACGGCAGAATTAAAAAAAACAAATTTTGATGGCTGAATACTGGGAAAACCACCTTTGATGGTACCACTTTAAAAAAACCCGACTTCAGCGGCAGAATTTTCGAAAAAACCTTTGAAGGCCTAATCCCGGAAAAAATTGGAAAGAGGATAGGTACACCTTATACCACGGAGGTAAGGAAGGTGGGCTGACGTACTTTGCTTTGAGCGCGGGAGCAGCTTCCTATGGAGAGTTGTTCTGCGGAGAGTTGCCAGTTCGACCAATGGGGGAGGCAATTCGTCTTGGTGGGGGCAATAAGTGTACTCCTGTACAGGACACCTTGTGAAGACCTGTCAAATCTTGTAACTAATAAAGCTCTTTGTGCCATTCGCAACTTCACAAGGTTTACAGGTCTCACCGAAATAAGACCTGTTCTTGACTGACCTAAAAGAAAAGGACAGCAAAAGTGCAAAATGCTCCATTCAAGCCCCACAGTGTCCAGAGAAAAACCAGAGATAGAGCGACCTTCTTCCTGTTGTCTGGACCCTCCTATGCACCTGATGCCTGCGTCTCTGACTGGATCACAGCGTAGCTCGACGTCGCTAAGCTTACAAGGATTTTCTCGAATACGCCCTTTTTGAATGAAGTGTCAGATGATTCCCAAGTGACGCATAAGAACCACTCACCAGAGATCTGGTGTCGCTGCTTTGATTGGATCCTCGTCGGTGCTAAGAACGCCATGGCCACGAATTACCACGGCAAGATTTCCGATCGCAGTCGAATGTGATGATGAACCGACGATACCGGATACATAAAATCCTAAATTTTATCGCTTGAACATGTATACTCCTTGTTCGCTGCGGACGAAGGGGCGTGTCAGGCAGTATGAGTGTGCCACGGCGCCAAACCCGTTCTCTGCCAGTTGTTGAAGCGGGTATGCGACAACAAGTGGTAGAAAACGAGTGATACGAACGATATGATACAGTTTCATCATTTGCTCGCTTCAACAGCTGATGGAAAACGGGTTTAGCACCGTGCGAAACTCATCCCGCCTGACACGCCCCCTCGTCCGTAGCGAACTGGACTATATATGAATTTATTAGGCTAAAAAGGTCTTAATGGCACAAGAATTGAAGCGGCAGTTTAATTACGGTCCAGACCGACTCTTATTTAGAGGCGAGATTAACATGGTGCGTCATGATTTTGTCCCTGTGCTGTGCTTTATTTTAATGAAATGGCTTTTTATTCATGTTCTGAAGTTGTCGAAACACGTTCTCAATCACGAAAGATGCTGACTTCATGAGCTGTTGAAAAAAATGGAGGAAATTACTGATGAAAAATGATGAAAATAATCCCGAGATGCGCACAGTACGGCGGCCCGCAATGTGTCAAAGGCATATTCCGCGATGCAATTCGTGCAATGCCACAAACAAATCCCAGCTCCTTGCTGTTGGTTTTTTGCAGTGGAAGACCGTGCGAAGACGCGGTAGGTGAGAAGACATTGAGAGCGCGACAGAGAGACCAGAGAAAGGGATGAGAAAGCAGAGCGATGAACGAAACGACTGACATAACACACTCTATAAGCCCTCACCTCTAAGTGGAACCTCATTTAGTGTGTCCAATAGCCGCGGCTCACGGTAACCTCAGTGCCCTGTTGTTCATTTTCGACCCACAAAACCTAGTCCCCGTTTAGACTGGGCCGTATTATATAGAAGTGAGTCAGATGGAAGCAGAGTATTTTAGAAAAAAGACGCTGTAATATTCGAGTCACTCACCGAGTAGAAATCGTAGGAGCAGAAGCATACCGGTTCAACCCAGCGGGTACATCCGCCAATCAACAATCGACTGAAAAGTCGATTTTTGAGAAAAGGATAAACAAACAATCAATATGAGCACATATAACGTAACAATGACGATAAATCGAGATTTTCATAAAAAATTGTGCCATCGATGACGGACTAGAGGCTGAGAAGGGTAGCCAGTGACCCTGTCGGTACCAGATGAAAACATGAAGCTAACAATATCTCGGGTTGTAAAGGAAGATTTGCACGCAACATCAGCCCATTACTCAGAGTTCAACCTAGCCCGAGACCTGAGCTCACTTAATGTTTCCATTCGATGAAACGAGAACTGGTTTTCAGTACTAGATAACGCTCGTTAAACAAGTGCGCCGTGATGAAAAAAATCCCGAATTTTCCGAGGAAAAGGGTTACGCCTCGGTCATGAAACATGATACTCCAGGAACTTATATTTCATTTCTAAATCCCTTTGAAAAACTTCCCGAAAGTCTTCAAGAAACACTTTCCCTCAAGGAGGTAAGAGACTCACTGATTGCTCTGAAGGCAAGAAGGCGCCAAAGTCGTGCCTGAAAGCCCTCTGGGGAGCATCATGACGAACTGGAGAAACTGTCGTTCACCACTGTTGCCCACCGCTGTTTCAAGTACAAACAGCTCCTTTCAAAGCAGTCTACCCCCAACCCTATGGCTTCAGTGAGTGTCCAGAAGATCAGAAATGGAATAGCGCCATAAGCCAGCGCTTTTCAACCTCAATGTCCAACCCTCATTTATGTCCTCAGCTTCCCACATCTCTATCACTAGAAAAATTGGTTTATCAACCGGCGCGGTGGAGGTGGGCAGATGGTTTACTATATTAGAATCAGTAAAAATCTCATCACCCTGGACATAATGCAGAAGACCAGAGGAATGCTAAAGAGTTTTTTTCTCAATACGACCCGCAACATATATCGGAACAATGTGACAGAAAGGCGGAGTGGGAGAGGGGTCACGAGAAATTCGACAGTGGAAGAAGTTCCGCCAAACGAAATGTTGTCTCTCCCCCTCTCCCCCTCCCCCCCCCCACGACTCTCCATCCACGCCGTGGCCTAACATCATGTGAAAATGCTTGTGTCCAGCAGTTTAGGGAATAAAGTGTAGGAGGAATTCGGGTGGAATCGGAGTACATGGTGAAAAAATTCTAGTCAGGTTACGCCAGGTCGCTCCGGAATGAATTCCTCGGACAAGCCGGCCCCAGTTACCCAATATCT